TGTGTGTGTGTGTGTGTGTGTGTGTAATCATAAAATTTGGATTGAAAATTAATATGACAGGGATTGGAAAAAAATTCCTTCAAACTGGAATTTCAGGGAGAGTGCCACTGAAATGACAAGATCAGAATTAATTTTGAAGATTGGACAGAATTGGGTTGGAAAATCAGTAAGAAAGAGGGAGGTCACTGTAGCTCAGTGGGTAGGGCGCCAGTTGGTTTGAACTCAATCCAGGCCAGCTGAACAATGACAACTGCAACAACAACAACAACAAAAATAGCTAAGTATTGTAGAGGATGCATGTAGTCCCAGCTACTTGGGAGGCTGAGACAAGAGAATCGCGTAAGCCCAAGAGTTTGAGGTTACTATGAGCTGTGATGCCACAGCACTCTACTGAAGGCGACAAAAAAACAAAAAAAAAAGAAAGAGGGAGGTGAGACCAGGAAGAGAAAAGTGCATAAATACTATTAGGCAGGACTGAAAAGACAGAAGTGGTACTGATTGCTAGTTTTGGAAATTAAAATCAAGGCAAGAGAAAAACTTTATTCAGAGAGGAAGCAGACATTAACTGGCAAAATTATCTTGACCAACACTTGATTGGGCAAAAGCACTTCTCTGCAATATTACATGATCAAACCTCCTGATGACATTTGTTACCATAGACATAATAGAAATAGAAATAATTCATTCTAACTTTTGAAAATTAAGAACATAAATTTCCATTAAAAAGATCAAATTTTTTATTTTCATATATCGTTACACAAATCTTAAGATGGCTAAGCTATAGCTAACCATTTATTATCATCAAACAATTTTTGACCAATTGATATTTTTTTACCATCTTTGATGGAATGTGACCTAATTTTAGAACCACATGTAGGCTGTCGGTTTCAATTTGCTCTCGAAAAAAAAAGGAGCTCTAACAAGTAAATAAACCATCACATTTGCCTTGTACACGCATTTTCAGTCATTCCTCCTTTCTACTAAAAGCTGAAATAGGATGGCTAGAATTTCAATTATCCAGCAAAAGTCAAAATTGGACTGTTTTCACTTACAGGCCCCATATCACATCTTTCTACTTCTAAAATGTTCTGAAATACTGAGCTTCAGTCATCAAAGGCAGTATTTCTACCTCAGTGTCCAGACAAGCAAATATCTGTATGGCATGATGACTTGCATGTTAGTCTTACTGATCGTAGGACATTACGTATAAATTATGCATATACTTATTTCTTCTTTACCTGTTTCTCAAGCCAGTTCCATTGCCACAGCTTCCACCAACCAAAGTCTGTAAAGAAGGTAAAGCTGAACGGCTTAGCTGCTGCCGACTGGGGCCCCTCCTTCCACCGGGCATGTCCGGGAACCAGTCTGCTTCCAGTGCCGCCTGTAGTTGCAACCCAGGTTAATGGTTGTCAACCTGTTTCAACTCTGAACAACAACAAAAATTAAGTATCAGTTAACTATTTTTAAAGTAGGCAACACAAGAAAACAACCAGAAAAACTGAGTGAGCAGGCCTTGCAAAACCAGATTTTCAAACAAATGTTCCCAGTGTCTATTACCTACCTTATTCTAATTAAAGGACTACTCAGACTCTAATGGGTCAGAAGCCTCCTAAGTTCTGATTTAAGATCTGTTCAGAGTTAGGCAAATCACAATTTTTCTCTTTTGTCAGTTGACTTGTATCATACCGAAAAATATTACAATCAGAGGTTAAGTTTACAAGAAACACCCCAACTTACATATTTCCAATTCAGTATTTCATGCTAACCCACTTGTAATACAGGAGAAAAAAAGCACTGTCCAAAATTTTAGGTTTTGTTATCAAGGGATCTGGGTTCTAACATCATATTGTCACATACCATCTGACCTTAACTGAGTGGGTTAGCCTCGGAGTTTGTTTCTTCATTGGGGGAGTAAGAGGATGAGGGTGTCCCCTGGTCTACAGAAGTCATTGTCAGATCTTAGGAAGATAAATTAAAGGGCTCCAGTAGGCCTTTTAACTCTTTAAAAGTAAAACTGTTCAAATGGTATCTCCATATGTTAGGTGAAGATGCTGGAAGGAACTCAATGGATTCCCACTCCAGAAAAACTGATGTAAAATCATTTATAAATTACCGAAACTGCAAGATTAAAAGGCAAGTAGCATGTAAAGATCCTCACTGAAAAGCAGCTGTGTTTTCATCGATCTATGACAAAAATCATGGTTCTGCCAATATGGATACCAAGTCTTTCCTAAACAATACAACCAAAACTCGAAGGACGACACGCTGGAAAAACCCTGTTTTTCAAAACGTTACTGCAGACTGATCCGATGTTCCCTATTCTTAAACAGTCTTACTGTTATACTAACAAACGCCAAGTGAGACAAAGCATTCAAACCGTTGGACGGAGGGGCTGCTGGTCCTTGCCCAATGAGCAAAGGGAAAGAAAAATGAGGGGCAAAAAACTGGGATGGAAAAGGCGAGAATACGAGGTGGGGAAAGGTAGACGGCAGAAGACTACAAATTTCAAGAGACTATTCCCTAAGTGAAGTGGGCAAAGCGGTCCCCGCAACACACTTCAGAGGACCAAAGCAGGCCCAGGACAGTCAGACAGCGAGGCAGCTCAGTAATACTCACGCATGGAAAAAGCCCGGCCGGCGGGGCTGGATCCCTAGGACGAGGTGGCGACTTTACAGACTGGACCCAGGCAAAAGAACTCCCTCCCCGTGTTGAAGCGCTCCAAACCTGCTGCTTGTACGCAGGCCGTCCCCGCCCTGAGAGTCGAGAAAAGGTATCCAGGCTTCGGGTTGCCACTCTGACCCAGACCCTAAGTCAGTGCCAGAGCCAAAGCTAAGACTAGAGCCAGAGCTCGGCCGGGTCAGCACTCAACCCCAACCTCCATTACCGCGGAGCTGAGCAGACGTGGCAGCGCACGGTGATGACGTCAGCTGCGCGACGGCTGGCTGCTCCAGCCGCGGGCTGGCCCCCGGAACCAGACCCGCAGCCCCGGGAGCCGGCACGCCAGCCCCTCCCGCGTGCACCTGCGCAGTGGGACTCGCCTGCTTCTCTGGGCTTGTGGTCCCGCCTTCCCTGCCAGCCCCGACTAACGTATTTCCTCCCTGGGCCTCAGTCATCTATTCCCTACCGGGTGCAGGGTACTTCTTGTTATCTCGTGGACTCCATGCCACAACTATGTACAAGTTATCGCCCCCATTTTACAGATGGAGGGAGATTGGGAGGCCTCACCTAGAGTCACGTCATTGCTAAATGAAGGAACTCAACCAGTAAAGTCTTCAGCATCCACCCCGGCACTTTATGTTAAAGATTAAGTAGATGCTGGGCTTACAAATTGAATACCGCAAAAGTCTGCGGTCTATTGGAAGAGACAAAGACACCAGGAAAACACAGCAATTACAATTTATTACAATACATGCAACATTAAAAGTATGTTCAAGGATCAGAGAGAGCATGCAAGACAGTGTAATGAACTCTGTGGGATGGTGGCAGCGTCAATACCAAGAAAAATATTACAGAGAGGTCGGGGTTTAAGCCAAGACTCTAGGAATGACTTAGGAGGTTCGTGGGAGAATGGCTCCTCTGCTGGAGAGCAAGTGGCAGATAAAAAGATGAGGTAGGCAACGTCACGATGAGATCAGGAACTGCCCATAATTTGGTGCTAGAAGAATACAAGTGTCAAAGGAAGCATTTGGGTGAGACCTTTCACTCTAGAGAGTATGAGCCCCTTAAAAGAAAGTTCCCTGTATTGTTTATATGATTAGTTAACTTTTACTGAGAGGTTTTTATCAAACAAAAGATCTCAAATATTTATTACTGCACCAGCTTATTAGTGAAGAGCATATAAACAAAGAGAAAACTCATTTTCCCAATGAAAGGTGACCAACTGTCCAACTGATGACATTTTCAGCTTGATAAAGGTAAGATGATGATGACCTCACGTGATACAGCATAATTGCCATCTCATGTGCAATTCCTTATAGACCCAGCTTGGCTCTTCTCCAGGGTCTCCTCTTCAAGTTATACCTGATTTTATTACCCGTTTTCATTCGAATCTACTGGGGAATGGGACGATTTTGTTTTTGTTTCTTGGCCAGAATCCGTTTGATTCTGAAAGTCTTGTGAGAGGAAACGGCCACAAACAGGCCACTAATCACACGAAACACAATGGAGTAGAGGGAACTTTACTGAGAGTTTTGTTGTGCCAGACACTAGACTACTAGTTTTGCACATTTCCTTTAAATCTCACAAGGCTTTGATACTACCATGGTTTCTGTTTTCCAGAGGAAAGTGAAGTTAAATAATGGTTAGGTAACTTACTGAAAATAACCTAGCTAATAACTGGCAGAACCAGAATGACTGATATGAAAACCACTAAAGTTAGTAAGTATGCTTACTAAGTCCTAGTATGCTAAGATTATCACAGAGCTTTCTTTTATTCATTAATACAGATGCTCTTCAACTCAGGATAGTTCAATTTATAATTTTTTGACTTTATAATGATGTAAAAGTGATACCCATTGAGTAGAACCATACTTCCAGTACCCATCCAATCATTCTGGGTTCTTTCATTTTGAAGTACAGTCATGCATTCCATAATTATGTCCCAGTCCATGATGAACTACATATACAGCAGTGGTCCCATAAGATTATAATGGAGCTGAAAAATTCCTATTGACTAGTAATGTCATAGATGTTGCTAGGTGGTAGTGCAACACATTACTCATGTGTTTGTGGTGATGCTGGTGGAAACTTACTGTGCTGCTAGGGTAAAAGTATAGCACATACAATTAGGTACAGTATGTAACACTTGATAGTAAATGACTGTTAATAGTTTATGTATTTACTACACTATGCTTTTTCATTATTTTAGAGTGTACTGATTATACTTATATTTTTAAAAGTTCACTCTAAGGCTGGGTGTGGTGGCTAATGCCTGTAATCCTAGCACTCTGGGACGACAAGGCAGGTGGATTGCTTGAGGTCATGAGTTGGACACCAGCCTGAGCCAGAGTGAGACCTTGTCTCTAGAAAAATAGCCAGGCATTGTGATGGTCACCTGTAGCCCCAGCTACTCGGGAGGCTGAGGCAAGAGGATCAGTTAAGCCCAAGAGTTTGAGGTTGCTGTGAGTTATGATGCCATGGCATTCTATCAAGAGTGACAAAGTGAGACTCTGTCTCAAAATAACAATTATTAAATAAATAAAAAATAAAAGTTTACTGTAAAACAACCTCAGCAGGTCTTTCAGGAGGTATTTAAAAATAAGGCATTGTTGTCATAGGAGATGACAATTTCATGTGTGTTACTGTCCCTGAAGACCTTCAAGTGGGATAAGATGTGGAATTATAAGACAGTGATTTTTTTTTTTTTTTGGTAGAGACAGGGTCTTACTTTATTACCCTCGGTAGAGTGCCCTGGCATCACACAGCTCACAGCAACCTTCAAATCCTGAGCTTAGGCGATTTGCCTCAGCCTCCAAGTAGCTGAAACTACAGGCGCCTGCCACAACACCCAGCTATATTTTTGTTGCAGTTTGGCCAGGGCCAGATTTGAACCCTCCACCCTCAGTATATGAGGCGGGCACCCTACCCACTGAGCCACAGGCATTGCCCTATAAGACAGTGATATTGATAAACCTGACCCAGTGTAAGCCCAGGCTAATGTGTGTGTTTATGTATTTGCTTTTAATAAAAAAAGTTGAAAAAAGTTAAAAAAAAATTAAAATTTTTAGAAATAGAAAACAGCTTATAGAATAAGGAGATAAAGAAATAAGAAAGTATTTTTGTACATCTATACAATGTGTTTGTGTTTTAAGCTAAGGGTTATTACAAAGGAGTTCAAAAGTTTAAAGAAAAAAAATTTTTTTTTTTTTTTTTTGGCCAGGCCGGGTTTGAACCCACCACATCCGGTATATGGGGCCAGTGCCCTACTCCTTTGAGCCATAGGCGTCACCCGGTTTAAAAATTTCTAAAGTGTACAAAGTAAAAAAGGCTACAGTAAGCTAAGGTTAATTTATTATTAAAGAAAGAAAACTAGGCTGGGTGAGGTGACTCATGCCTATAATCCTAGCACTCTGAGAGACTGAGGCAGGTGAATTGCTTGAGCTTAGGAGTTCAAGAGCAGCCTGAGCAAGAGAGAAACTGTCTCTAAAAATAGCTAGGCATTGTGGAGGTCAGCTGTAGTCCCAGCTACTTGGGAGAATGAGGCAAAAGAACCACAAGAGCCCAAGAGTTTAAGGTTCCTTTGAATAGTAACACCACAGCTCTCTACTAAGGGGTGACAAAAAAAAAATAAGAAAAAGAAAGAAAACTCTTTCTTGTAAGTTTAGTGTAGCCTAAGTTCACAGTTTATAAAATCTACAATAGTTTACAATAATGTCCTAGGCCAGCAGTTCTCAACCTGTGGGTTGTAACCTCTTTGTAACAATGAAAATACATTGCAGCATTAGGAAGGTTGAGAACCACTGTCCTAAGCCTTAACATTCATTTGTCACTCACTAAATGACACACCCAGAACAACTTCCAGTTTTGCAAGCTCTATTCATGATACAATTTTTCTTATCTTTTATACTGTAGTTTTACTGAAACTTTTCTATGTTTAGATAACTGAATTCTTACCATAATGTTAAAATTGCCTCCAATATTTAGTACAGTAACATGCTATACAGGTTTGTGGCCTCACAGGGGTGGGGAACCTATCTCCTGCTGATTTCAAGAGCATTCTTTTTTAAGCACCAAAGGAGGCAAGAAAATCTTCATCTTTCTCTGCTAAACCCCTTTTAATAAAAGGATTTGGTATACAAAATTTGGATTCAGTCCAAAGGTTGCACTTAAGAACCAGGCAGGCACAAGTTTCCTTAAAGAAGAAGGTTCCCCACCTCTAGTAGGTGTGTAGTAAGCTATACCATCTAGGTTAAGGTGACCAGATTTTAACATTGGTAAAGCGGGACACCATGGGGGGGGGGGCTGACAGCAATGCAAATTTTGATAAGCAGTTCTCGATAATCAGTTCTCAACAATTATATGTTATTATTAAAGTTTAACATTATAAAATTAACAAAAATAATATAAAATGCATATTCTGGCAAAATAGCCACATGCCAGCTGAAAATCGTATATTCCCTTCCTGTTCTCCCATGTTCCCTAGCTTGTGGTGCATTCTTTCCAAAAATTGGGGCTTCTTCAAAACGTCACAGGATGTAGGACAAATTGTTAAAAAGCGGGACATCTGGTCACCTTACTCTAGAGGGAGGGGCTACTTGTTTGTTCCAGACAGTTTGGCTCCTTCTGAGCTAATTTTCCTTGCCTAGAAGCAAGGGAGGGAGCCAGTCTTTTTCTGATACCTTGCCCAGGAGTGGAATAGGGAGTTTAGCCTTTTCATTTCCAAATGAAGTTACATTAACCTCTTCATTCCCAAATGGAGTTACATTAACTTTTTCAGCAGCCGAAAACCTTATATTCCCTTCCCATTCTCCCGCTGTTCCCTAGCTTGTCATGCATTCTTTCCAAAAATCAGGACTTTCCAAAAATCGGGATGCAGGACAAATTGTTCAAAAGCAGGACATCTGGTCACCTTAATCTAGGTTTATATATGTATGATGTCTGCACACCACTGATTTCAGCGGGCTAAGGAGGCATTTCTCAGGATATATCACCATCTTTAGGTGACACATAACTCTACTGCACACCTTCCTGGAAGTAGAGAAAATTCTGACTCAGCTTTTATTTGGATTTCTGAAGAAGTCTTATATCATACAATGTTGGGAGTCCATTTTTTCCTTCTGCCTATTCACCCAAAGTGAGTTTCACTCACACAAAAATTGGATGGTCCCATCGTTCTGGAATATAGTCTAAATGCCTCCTCTGACTGACATAGCCCCTTCCTAGCTAATCAGCTTGATTTTTATCTTCTACCATTCTTCAACATGTACCCTAAACCTGCCATCAACTTAAGTTATACCCCCCACCTTCTACAAATTATGGCTCCCACATTTTCAGCGTCTCCAGGACAGTATTCCTTAACTGCAACATTTCCTTTTTTTTTAGCCTGAGATATACTGCTCCCACCCCCTTTCTCTAGATTTCTACTTCATATTGAATTTTTTTTTCCTACACTGAAACCAGTAACATTTACCTATTGCCTTAAATTATAAATTATCGGCTCGGCGCCTATGGCTCAACCGGCTAAGGCGCCAGCCACGTACACCTAAGGTGGCGGGTTCGAATCCCCAGCCCGGACCCGCCAAACAACAATGACGGCTGCAACCAAAAAATAGCCGGGCGTTGTGGCAGGCGCCTGTGGTCCCAGCTACTTGGGAGGCGGAGGCAGGAGACTCGCTTGAGCCCAGGAGTTGGAGGTTGCTGTGAGCTGTAATGCCACGGCACTCTACCCAGGGGGACAGCTTGAGGCGCTGTCTCAAAAAAAAAAAAAAAAAAAAAAATTATAAATTATCTCTGAGGAAGCATGTCTTCCCTACTAGTTCTGAACTTGGGAGCACAGATTTGATCTTACAATTCTGCGTATTTCCACAAAGCCGAGGAAATTACTATGCACATTTTAGACAATGGATAAATAATTGTTGCGTCTATATATCTACACTTACCTATGTACACCTATATATAGATACACACCTATACTATGTTATATACCTATACTATCTAGTATTAAGTTGTCCACTGTCAAAAGCCCAAATTTTAACAAATTTATTTATTTATTTATTTGAGACAAAGTGTCAAGCTGTCACCCTGGGTAGAGTGCTGTGGCATCACAGCTCACAGCAACCTCCAACTCTTGGGCTTAAGCAATTATCTTGCCTCAGCCTCCCAAGTAGCTGGGACTACAGGCACCAGCGACAACACCCAGCTATTTTTTGGTTGTAGTTGTCATTGTTGTTTGGCAGGCCTGGGCTGGATTCAAATCTGCCAACTCTGGTGTATGTGGCTGGAGCCTTAGCTGCTGAACTACAAGGCCTCGAGCCAAAATATTTAAAGATCTAATTGGCTTTTATTAGTGATTTATGTATTAGGTAGCATTCCACCTATGAAATAGGAAGACAGACTAACGAGGTGTGCAGAGGGGTGTTTCTTTATAGGCAGAAAAACGCTAAAGAAAGCGGAAACAAAGAATAAAACATAGATTGTTCATTTTAAAGTTACTTTCCTGGCTCAGAGCCAGTAGCATAGTGGTTATGGTGCCAGCCACATACACCGAGGCTGGCGGGTTGGAATCCAGCCCAGGCCAGCTAAAACAACTAAGATAACTGCAACAGAAAAATAGCCCGGTGTTGTGGTGGGCTCCTGTAGTCTATTTGGGAGCTGATGATGCAAGACAAGGTGGCACCACGACCTGCCGCCTTAGCCCTGGAGGTATTGATGCTGTGGCGGATGGAGGAACCAGCTTGATATCCAGCTTGATGGAAGGGCCAGACACCTGTGGTGGAGACACTGAGGACTTGCTGTCTCCTCCCCCTCTCCCCATGCACTTCTAGCTGATCAATTTCATGGATGGCTCCTAGCAGTCTCCTCCCAGAGAACATCTGACTGGTCAATTTCATGTAAGTTTCCAAGGCCTCAGTTAATTAGACAGTTGGCTATAACTGAGGACCCACCCCATAAAAGTCAACACTGAGTTGGCAAAACAAGCCCGCTGCCCCCTGCTGCTAAATCCCTGAGCAGAGAGCTGGAAGACAGACCTCCAAGAGGGAGCAGGAGAGCTTATTCTCCTCCTGGGTTTTCTCTGCCAGGAGGTTTGGTTTATTTGTAGTTGTTGTAATTACTGTTTCTTTGAATAAGTTCTGACTTACCTCTGATCCTGTGGTCTGTAATCACAGAGACTCTGGTATCAGATTTGGCCAGCCAGGAGAGCAGACCAAGTTCCGGTATTACTGAGGCAAGAGAATTGCTTAAACACAAGAGTTTGAGGTTGCTGTGAGCTGTGAAGGCACAGCACTCTTCCCAGGGCAACATAGTGAGACTTTGTCTCAAAAAATAAAAATATAAAATAAAGTTATTTTCCTTAGGGGGTTACAACAGAGGATACTTCTTTATTATGGCCACTCAGGGAGACTGGTCACCTTTTTCTGGTTGATTGTTGTGAATCTCCTTTTTTTTTTTTTTGAAAATTGATCCACTTCAAAGGTCAGTTTGATTATGTGACACCTAGGATGAATGACTCTATTCTGGTTTGGGAGCTAGTGCAGTGGTTCAGTTCAAAACAATGGTCTCTCATAAATTTTATTAAGGCTGGGTAAGATGGCTCACCCTGTAATCCTAGCCCTACCTGAATCCAAGTCTGAGCAACAACGTGACCCATGTCTAAAACAAGTAGCCAGGGGTTGTGGCGGGTGCCTGTAGTCTGGCTACTTGGGAGGCTGAAATAAAAGAATCACTTGAGCCCAAGAGTTTGAGTTTGCTATGAGTTCTGACGCATCGGCGACAAAGTGAAAACTGTCTCAAAAAACAATTTTTTTCCCCCACCACTTACTTTTTCCTCCTCATGTTAAGTCAGCTAACTTGTTATAAATTCCTATTATAGAGAGACCTGTGCTGTGCATTTTTTGAAGAGATGGGAGTCTCTTGCTCATTCACATGTTCAACTAAACTATACTATTTAATAGGACGAAGTTTGATGTCATGGAAAGCAAGATCTAGCTTCGGCTCTATGACGAGGAGGTTAGTAGCTGTGCCACTAAATATGAAGCCACTGAGCAAGAAACACACCCACTCTGACTTACAGTTTTCTGGCTGCAGAGAAATAGTATTTTTTCAATATGTTATAAAATGGAATTGCCATCCATTTCCCCAAGGATGTCAGGGAAGGAAGACACTGAGCTGTTCTATTTGTTCATTCTCCCCAGCTCCCTGCCGCGGCACTCCTGGGAAACTCCGCCTTGGGCCTGGGGGCTGGAAGGGGGTGTGTCGGGGAGCCGGCGGGGCCATCTTTGTGCGGGGCCCGTCACCCACGTGCTTCGGCGGCCCCGGCCATCTTTGTGCGGGGCGGCGCTTTCGCCGGCGTAGCGGCGGGGAATCCGCAGTGGGGCTGCTGGCGATGGAGTGGTGGGCCGGCTCCCTGCTTCGGCTCTGGCTGCTCTTGCTGCTCCTGCCGCCGGTGCAGGGCCGCCAGAAGGAGCCAGGTGGGTTCCGGACAGGGCCGAGCCTGCCGCTCGGGCTCGCGTGTGGCCAGGTCTGATGGCGCTCCCCGCCCCCTCTCCCCAGCTCCCTGAGGATGCTGTGGATGCTGCAGCGTAGAGCTGGGCAGAGGGCGTGGGCCGCCTTGGAGCTGAGGGTGAGGGTGTCGGGATCTCTGCGCCTGCCCAGGACCCTGGGGAGTAATCCGTCCTCCAGAATTGGGAGTGCTGGGCAGGATAGGGAATTTACCCGTTCACTCGCAGGCGGTGTCGCCGGCGCTTGGCTACTTTGTACCTCCCTTGAAACGCACTTGGGCAAAGAGGCCAATTACGTGTGTTCGCGCGTATGTCCGTGTGTATGTTGTCAGAAGAGATGAAGGGAGGGTTAATGTCTGTAGCTTTTGGTTGATTCTTTATATCGGGCTCGATGTGATTAGCAGACGGCCAGAATCCCTGTTAGTAGATCCATAGCCGCCTTCGGGCTGGGCTTGGGTTGTTGACGGCCCGGGTAGAGAAGCTGACGACGTGACCGCTGGAAAGTTACCAAAAAAAGAAAAAAAAAATCCTTCAAAGCGTTTCGTTTCTACCAGTGAGTTAGGAAGGGGATTTCTGGAAGTTTTGGTCTTTGTTGGCTCTGTCTGCCTGTCGCCAGCAAGAAGGCTCATGGGTATTTGGTTAACTTAAATTTCCTTTACTTTTCCAAGGTTCAAAATGGAAAGTATTTATTGACCAAATTAACAGGTCTTTGGAGAATTATGAACCATGTTCAAGTCAAAACTGCAGCTGCTACCACGGGTGAGTTCTCTTCTTTGATGTGTCGGTGGGGCCGGGTTTGAACCCACCACCTCCGGTGTATGGGGCCGGGCCCTATTCCTTGAGCCACAGGCACGCACCCTGAGAGTTTACTTCTTGTCACAGGAAGTACCCTAACATCCCTGAGGGACCTTGATTGCAATGGTCAGAGAGCTAAGTTGCTTTAAGAGCAAAAAGGCGAAATGGTCTGTCTACTTACAGGGAATAAGAATGCTCTGGAATAAGAGAGGCTCAGGCGGTCTTGGCCTCACAGATGTGGGATTTAGTGCATGTGTTTGTTTCTCCCATTGGACTGAAAGTTTTTTGAGGTCAGGGTCTATGTTTTATTTACTCTTGTATCCAGGTGCTGGGCCTCGTTAAGTGCCCAATAAATATTATTGAAGGAATAAACTTATTTATCAATTAATTGTAAGTTTCCTGTTGTTTATCTTTAAAGGATACACATCAAGGCTGGGATGTGGTATGGTAGGGTAGAATGACAACTTTGAAAGCAGACTTGGGTTTAGTCCTCCTAATTACCCTTGTGGCAAACTACTTAAATTCTCAAGTCTAAGATTCCTCCTCAGCTAAATTACAGGGTTCTTTTAAGCTGCTTACTTGTTACTCTGACTTCTCAAAACTTCATCTGATAGTAATGATACTGGTTGAAAACTTACTATATACTCAACTATAAAAGAGATGCAAAATAGTATCTTTTTCTGATGACTGATGTCACGCTGCCTGAGTATATGGGGGTGTGTGTAGGCCAGACAGACTAGAACAAATGAGTCAGAGGGTGCAGGACTGTAAGGAATAAACTGTTCCTTCTGTGGGATTCAGAGAGAGGAATATCAGTAGGACTGCAGTGAATGGGAGGATATGGGTAGTGAAGGAGGAAGAATTTAGGACTGCCAAGGGAGGAGCAATCCAGATGGAGAGACATTGACCAACTTTTTAAAAAATATGTATATAAATTTAGTTTTCTTTTGCAGTTTTTGGCCGGGGCTGGGTTTGAACCCGCCACCTCCAGTTTATGAGCCAGCGCCCTACTCCTTTGAGCCACAGGCACCGCCCCGTACTTTTCTTTTTTTTGTAGCTTTAGTACATTTAGGTGGTGTTTCTGGGGAGAGTTGCTCATTGCTGCCCACTATTCTTTCCCTCAGCTTACTCTATTCTCTAATACTAAACCTAAATGGACTTATGAATTAAGTAGAACTGTACTACTCTCTTGGCCTGTTCTTGAAGATTCCCATTGTTTCCCAGGGTCATAGCAGAGGATCTGACTCCCTTCCGAGGTGGTATCTCCAGGAAGATGATGGCAGAGGTAGTCAGACGGAAGTTAGGGACCCACTATCAGATCGTTAAGAACAGATTATACCGAGAAAATGACTGCATGTTCCCCTCGAGGTAAGTGTTACGAGGTAGACACATCTTCTGACTTTACTATATACAGGCTTACTTAATACTGTTCTTAAAGAGTTAAAAGGGGACTACAAAATGGTGATGAGCAATTCTCTTTGTCTGGGATTTTATTTATTTATTTTTTGCTAGCTCCTCTCCTAAAGCCTGTGTTCTTTCTCTTTGAGAGGCTTGGGTTCATCACTGGCTGTAGTACTGTGGCTCTACCCCCTCTTCCTTCCCGACTCTTAGCAGGGGTGAGCGAGCTGGGCTGAAGGAGGAAGAAAAGAAGAAATATTTACTGAGTGTCTGCTAATGCCCAGGATTGTTTTAGATTCTGTTTGAGGAGAGGTGGCAGAGTCAAGAGCAGTGATTGGGGCTGCAGACTCCACTAGCAACGACTTCAGGTGGGAGAGTTAAGGTGACATACATGGGCTGAGGGTTGAGGTGGGCAGGCAGCGTCATGGACTGAGTCTGGAAGTTGGGTTTAGACAGCATTACATACACCAAATGATATACCTTCTTTTTTTTTTTTTTTTTTTTTT